CCCGTTTTGAAAGCAGAATGACCCGTTCTGGTTTCAGAACGGCCCGTTCTGGTTCACTGGTGGTGTTTTAATTTTGCAACCAGAATGGGCCGTTCTAGGTCCAGGTATTTTCAAAAAAATTCTCATCCACGTGGATGCCACGTATGCATCTACGTGGCGTCCACGTGGCCAAAAGTTAACACCGTTAAAGCAATTTGGAGGGAAAGTCCCACATTGAAACCAATTAATTAATTTAGGACTAAATTGAAACCAATTAATTAATTTGGGACCAAATTGAGACAAAAAATTAATGAGGGACTAAATTGAAATAAAAAAAGATTATAAGGGACCAAAATAGGATTTTAACCTAAATTTTATCATTGAAGTGGCTTACGTGAATATACAGTATAAGAACTGTTTTCATATAAAAATTCTTTAAGAATCGATTCTTATTAATAGAAACATGAATCTGCATACTCAAGTTAATTAAGCTTTCCCATTAGAACAAAAATAATAATAATAAAAATTCATAAGTCTTAATGAGCAAGCATTATACTTTTTCTATTAACATGAAACAAATCACAAAGTGAAAAGAAAGAATTGAGAGAGATTTGAAATGAAATAAAGTGGTTGAAAGAGCTTTTCTCCATGCACTTCTAAGTTGTAACAAATTAGCAGTTGCAAGAGGTTGACCTTCATCTTCTCTGAAAACGACCCCTAAGCCAATGCCATCACTACTCTCTCTACACACATGCATCAATCTTTGCTTTAATTAATTTTTCCTACTTCAAGACTCATCTATGCTTCTTTCCAAGTACTTGTGGCCTTCTCCTTATGGAGAGTGTGCTTTACCATCACTTCATTACTGAAATGACATATGGGTACACAAAAGTGATCAAATGAATGTTAATAACATATATAGATGGGTGTGGTGAAGATTCTTTCAATTTCTTTTCCTTCCAAATTAATGTGATTGTATCAAAAGAACAAAGAAATAATTCACACATGGTAGAGATAAGAGAATAACATTTATTTTTCCAAAACCTTAATAATGAACGAAATAAAGAGAGAAAGAAAAGGAGGATGTTTTCTTCAGAAAGACTGTCGGTAAAGACTGTACCAAAGTTACCATTACTCATTGCAACTAGTAGTCCCTATAGAAAGGGTTATTTACTAATTCGTAATTAGTAACACAGAAAATTCAAATATGCATATAACTTTAAAAAAATATTATAAAAAACTATTTTTAAAAACTATTCTTTTAAAAAAGTAGATAAAGAAAAATAGAAAACTACTTTAAAAAAAAAATAATAATTAGATATAATTGTTTATTATATAAGAGAAGGGATTTGTTTGCTTCATAAATAAGTCTATCTAAACTTATTCTTTTCAACAACTCATGTTCGAAATCAAATTTTAATGATTCAATCATTTGATATTTCATTTTATTAATTTAAATGGTCGGAAAATCGATTTGAATTAATGAAATTAAGTATAAAATAATTTATAATTTTTTTAAAAAATTTTGCAAATTTGGTCTATATATTAAAAATTTTAAATTGCATGGTTGAATCGTTAAAATTTGACGTAAAACACGAATTATTAAATAAAGTAAGTTTAGATAAACTTATTCATAAAATACATAGATTCTCTCTCCTTTTTTTGCTCGTTAGATATATATATA